TCATAAGTATCCTGGTACCATCAGGTATGTTGTCATTGCACTTGGATCATATTACTTACTATTATTTTTTTGAGACACAGTCTCTTTCTGTTGCCCCAGTCTGGGAGTGCAGTGGCGCAGATCTCAGGCTCACTGCAAGCTCCGACCTCCCGGGTTCACGCATTCTCCTGGCCTCAGTCCTCCCCATGTATGCTGGGATCTACAGTGTTGCCTGCCACCACGCTCGGCTAATTTTTTGTATATTTTTAGTAAGTGACGGGTTTCACCGTGTTTAGCCAGGATGGTATCTCGATTTCTCACGCTGACTTCGTTGATCTGCCCCTGGGCCTCCCTAAAGTTCAGGCTGGGTATAACAGGCATGGCCACGCGCGGCCACTTTCCTTTATTTTTTTGAAGAGAACAGGGCGTTCCACTATATTTCCCAAACTGATCTTGAACTCCTGACCTCAGTTGATCTCCCACCGTTGTGCCTCCGAAGTGCATGGGATTTCAGGCCTGAGCACGCGGTCCTGCTGCTGGATGTATTTTGTTTGTTGTTGTTGTTGTTTGTTTTTTGTTTTTTGTTTTTTTTGAAACATCAGTCTCTCTCTGTTCGCCCACTTGGCTGGGAGTTGCAGTGAGGCACGATCTCTGTCTCACTGCAATCCTCTGCCCCGGATTTCAATGCTTCTCCCTGCCTCATGTCTCGACCCTCGAGTAGCTGGCTATGTACAGTGTACCGCCATCCGCCTGTGTTAATTTTTGTTATTTTTATTTAGGAACGGATGCTTCCCCATGTGGTCCGCATGTGTTCTTTGAACTCTCTGACCTCAGATGGTCCACCCGCCTTGGTCCTCACGAAGTGCTGGGATTACAGGCGTGAGCGCCACGCCCGGGACTGTGGTCAGCTGCTCTGTATTTACCCTCCCTTTCTTGTTCTTCTTTGAACACGTCCCTGAACGTAGCTGTCAATTCAATCACATAATTGGATTCTAATCTTGCAATTCTTAGGCAAGTGTTGCTTGTACCGCCCCCAGACCCCATCGGAAAGCTAAATTGATAGGGCACATTGTATCAACTGGTCTTGGCCAATGGAGGATGGCTCTTTAGCCAGTCCGAGTCACAACGACGAGACATACTGCCTGCCCTTCCCCAACTGCCTCTGCATGAGTAGCTCGTGGCCTTTGCAGTTTGACACCTTACCTTTTATTCCCAAGAACGGTTCCCTTTGGTAAGCCACTTCACACGAAGGCAGGATGACAGGGCTCTGATTCCTTTCAATCCTATTCTGTGCCTGCTCCCAATACTACTGCTACCCAGAGTTAGATTGGGAGGGGAGGTCTTCTAAACAAAATGATTATATGTATAAGTATATGTAGTTTCAGCCTTGGCGCCTGTGTTATTATTTTGTTTTCTTTTTAATGTAGACAAGGCAATCTTCCTCTTAAAATGTGTGCCCCTAAAGTGAAGCTGCAGTTTTTAAAATGCTAAATTTAGGCTCTTCCTTTCTCTGAATGATCGTGGGCAAAGCCTTTATGAGCCTCAATTTCTTCATCTGTGATGTTGGGTTAATAATAGTGTCAGATCATTAAATGCTGCTTATACTACAGGTATAAGCATTGATCTACATTTTCAGTCTCTAAAATAAAAAAAAAAAAGTCCAGTGTGGTGGTGCACACCTGTAGTACCAGCACTTTGGGAGGCCAAGGCAGGAGGATCACTTGAGGACAGGAGGCTGAGGGAGGCGAAACTCACGTCTCCAGGAAAAAAAACAAAAAAAAACAACCCAAGAAAAAGAAAAACATTTCGCTTCCTTAAGCAGAAAACTGAGAGGGTTTAGTGTGTTTCTATATCCTGCCTTAACATTAATAGCCACGACACCAACAAATTCACGAACATAAGATGATTCTTTAGAGAGACATTTTTATTCCCACTTCCTGACTGTTTAACCTTGACAATGGTACCAAACCTCTCTGTGCCCTCTGTTTTCTGCATCTGGGTAAAATAAGAGGTAACAAACGTAAATACATCCCTGACCCCACCAAGGTTGCTTTGCGGATAGAAATGACTTGATTTTTTTTTTTTCTTTGGAAAATGGAAGGCGTCGCGGCCTGTCCGCGCCCAAGGGGGCGCTGGAGTGCGAGGTGGGCCAGATCTGCGAGCTCACTGCAAGCTGCCGCCTCCCGGGTTTTACGCCATTCTCCTGCCCTCAGCCTCGCGAGGTTACCGGCTGGACTACGCCGCACCCTACGCGGCCGCCCGGCGGCGCGGCCGTGCAACCCTCAACCCGGGCTAGATGTGTTTTGTACATTGTTTTACGTGAGGACGATGCGGGGCGGAATTTTACCCCGTGTTAGCCAACACGGATGGGCCTTGAATCTCCCTGACCTGTGATCGCCCGTCCCAAGAGTGCTAGGGATTACAGGACTTGAGCCACGGCCGCCCTCGACTATGATATTTTTAATATTTCTTTTAGAGACGGGTGCACTCTAGGATAGGCCAAGGCTGGAGTGCAGTCTCATGAAATCAAAGCTCAAACCTCGGCCAG